GGAATGCCGGCAGCCACCAGAAGCTGGGAGAGGCTGTAGAGCCTCTGGAGGGAGCACAACCCTGCCGATACCTCGATTTCGGCCCAGTGACACACGACATCTGCCTCCAGAACTGTGAGCAAATAAACATGTGCTATTTTCAGCCACGAAGTGAGTGGCGTGTGTTAGTCGGCCCAGGAAACTAACACAGAGGTGTCCCCTGGCCCATCATGCCACCACCTGGGTTTAGGCCAGACCCTCAGCTGCCCCCACCACCTGCTGCAGATGGTTCAGAGGGTCAGCACTGGGAGCCAGTATCTCGTGAAGGGTCAGGCTGGCCTAGGGTGAATCCTGGCCTTGACCTTTACAACTCTGGGGCCTAGGCAAGTCCCTTGGCCTCCTCAGTGGAGAAATGGGGACATGATGACACACTTTGCCGGGTAGCTGCGGGGATGTACTTTTGAAATTGGAAATCTTGGGGTGCATGTGAGGGGGCCTGCCATCACTGTTCAGCACAGGAAGCCAGGGACAAGTCCCTCTCCCACCACCACAGGCCAGGCGCGGAGTGGGGGCGGATTTTAAAGATAAAGAGCTCCAGGAAGGGGGTGCAGGGAGACCACCGGAATGCGTGAGCCCAGGGAGCTGGTGCTTCTGGGTATGCACAGATGGCAGCCTTCACCTCCTCTTGTCTTCAGGCCCCATTCTGGCCCATCCCTGCGGTCAGCTCTCCCTGGTCCTGTATACACAGTGGGAGGTACCCCAGGTCAGCTCCCAAAGTCTACCTGCGCTGTTCCTTGGGCCAAGGATCCAGTGACGGCAGCTTGGAGAGGTCCCCGCCTGGGCAGTGTTCAATCCCACTCACAAGTCCCACAACCAAATGTTCATTGAAGAAAGTATGATTCCCCAGAGAGAATGGCAGTCTGACCTTAGCCCTCCTGGTGACCCCCACACCCACCGCAGGCCCAAGTGGATCAGCTGTGGTGGGACCTGAGTGATCAGGCAGCCCTGGGAACGGCCAGTGTTTCTCCCCAACCCCATGCTGGCATGAACCCCCCAGCTCTTGCGAGACCCCTGTACCCAAGTCTCAAAGAGACAAGAGACTCATGCTGATATAAGAAGTGGAAGGGTGCAGAGACAGAATCTGGGTTTGAAACCTGAAGAAACCGCTCTGCTGTGGCCATGTTTTCCTTACCCATCTTGTGCTGTTGTCCCTTGCACCTCGGAACCAGCCTCTGCTTTGGGGAGCCCTCAGGCCTCCAAGAGCCCATAGGGAAACCCCGTCTGGCCTTCCTCCAGCTCTGGCACCCTCTGCCTGTGGGGGAGGCAGCCTTATCCAATGGCTGGGAGGAGGTAGCCCTGCCAGCTGTCCTGGGCTTTTCAGGAGGGGGCTGGCCAGACAGAGCAATGCCCTTCAGCAAGTGCCCCCTGAGCAGCCAAGGCCCGGGCACCATCAGTGCGGCCATGGGGCAGTCACCTGTCCCACCTTGCCTCACCCACACTAACGCAAATGTCTTGTCCTTTCTTGAGAACAGGCTTCCTTCTAGAAAACTCCTTGGAAGGTGAATTTTCTCAAGTTGAAAATGTGTGTCCTATTGAAATTACTTTCACAATGGCCAACCAAACACTTTTATAACACAAACCTCCCAAAATGGTCAAGGAAAATGTAAGAAACGAATGGAGACCACATGCCTGTACACACGTGTGATCACAGCTATTAACAAGCCACACACCATATGCAAGAGGGAGAGCAGGAGGCCCCTGCTGAGGTGAGTGTGGCCCCAGGGGCTCAGGGGTGCTGAAGACCCCCCAGGCTGTAAAGGTCAAGACCCATTTGTCACCCAGGTAGGAGGATTCCAAGACTCTCCCTGAAAAGTCAAGTATTCTCCCTATGAGCCTGTGTCATGGGTTAAGTATGTTTTGCTTGTTCTCCGTGCGAAACTCCCGTATCAAGACTGATTTAAAAGACGGAAAAATGTTTGGGGCCTTTGTGTTGGCATTGGTAGCTGCCAGTGGCCACATCAGGGAGGTGGCCGGGAGTGAGGGCTAACCACTCAACCTCCCTCACCTTTCCAGGACCAGAAGGAGCCAGGAGGACCCCACAGCATGATAATTCCAGGCTGGGAACAGGGGAAGGCCTGGGGTCACATCCCTGCCCCTGCCTCACTCCCAGGCCCACAGGACTACAAGAGGCCAGATCGGGTCAGGCCAGCAAGCTCTATGAAAAGGCAGAGGCCTGGGTGGGCCTGACGCAGACAAAGCATGGCTTCATTCCTGCGCTCACCAAAGGACTTGCCAAGAGGAAGTCCCAAGACCCGGGCATGGGCTTCCCAGGGCCCACCGGCTTGAGCAGGAAGTTGGCCCAGGCTCAGTTAGCTGAGCAAACAGCACCTTTCTCAGGAAAGGGGTGGGAGAGGCCCAGCCCTGGGGAGGCCCAGGGATGGGGTATATGAAGCCTGCAGGCCAAACCCTGGGAAGGGTGTCTTCAGTCCCAGGTGCATCCACTGAGCTGCAGCCCACCATGAAGCTCACCGCTGCCCTCCTGGTGCTTTGCGTGGCCCTGCTCAGCCACTCCAGTGAGTGCCCTCCGGCCTTGGCTCCCTGTCCCTGCCATGGGGCCCAGGCAATGGTTCTGCCTGGCTCCCAACCCCGACTCCAGCCAGTCCTGACCCTGCTGCCTTCACACCTGTGGCAGCAGGCTCCTTATGCTGGTCTGTCCAGTGCTCCCGAGGGACAAGGCCAGTCCATTAGGGTCCCCTTACTGAGCCTTCGGGCCTCTTCTCATGCCCCTGCCTACTCCAGTTTTTCTTTTTCATCCACCAACCCCAGGCCCTCCCAGCCTTGTGAGAATGTGAGCGCTGGCCTGGGCTGGGAACATTCGTCTGCTCTGTGCGTCATCCTCCAAGGCCCAGCCCAGGTCTCCCCTTCTTTGAGAAACCTGCCGGGGCCCATACTCAGAGCTCACCTCTCCTCCCTCCGCCCTCAGGCCACCTCTTATGACCCTCTGTCCAGCCAGCTCCCTGCTAGACCATAGCTTTTTGCAGTCAGTGAGGGAGGGAGAGGCCGGCTAGGGCTGCTGGCAGGTTGTAGAGGCCCTGGGCTTCTCCTGGAGGAAACAGGTCCTCAGGAGTTCTCTTTGGGGGCCTGGGCACAGGTGGGTGACTCTTCTCTATTGCGTTTGCAGCTATGGGCTTTTGGATGAACTGGATGGCTAAGCCTGCGGCCCCGACTGTAGCTACTGTCCCCACTGCTGTGGAGGCTGGGGCCGGGGCAGTGGCCAACTCCTATTTCAAGGGCCTCAACCCCCTGAGGATCATGCTGACAAGCCTGGGCATCCCTGTGGAGCATCTGGTGGAGGGCTCCAGGAAGTGCGTGGCCGAGCTGAGCCCTGAGGCCATGAGGGCCATGAACAGTCTGCTGGTAAAGGGGGCACCTGGCATCTCCCTGTGCACGCTGCCCTCCTGGTCTGCCCCCAGCCCCCCACGTGGAAGTACCCTGTCCACTCCTCTAAACCCTACACAGGGGTCCCGGCCCCACGACAGGCCCACCTCGTTTCCCTCCCCCGAGAAGCACGGTAGCCTCAGGTGGGAACCAGATGGACCATTCTCAACGGCATGGGGCTGCAGAGGGATGGAGGGGGTGAGGTAGGGACTCACCTGTTGAGGAGACACAGCCCATGTGTGTCCCAGCACAGCAGGTGTCATGACCAGCCCAGAAACCCAGCCAGAGCGGAAGCTGTGCCGTCCCCCGAGGTCTCTCACTGACAGGGCCTCTCGGGTGTCAGGCGGTTTTCTGGGCTCTAGGAACATTACTGTGGCGGGGGGGGGGGGGGGGGGGACACACTCAAGCCTGGCTTCTCCTTCCTAGGGGGCCCTGACGTTCTTAGGCTGAGTGGAGGCCTGAGTATCCTGCTTGGGGACGAGATGCTGCCACCTGCAGGCTGGGGACCTGCACCAGGCCCGACTGTGCCCCTCCCCTACTCTGTCTTAATAAACATGGTTAAGAGCAGTTTTGGGCTGGAGTCTTCTTGCCTCAATGCCAGTCATATCAACCCCTTCCCACCATGTGCTGCGATCGTGTATGTTGTGTATGTGTTTGGGCGGCGGGGAGACTGAGAGACCACTGACATTTGGCAGGTGGCACAAAGCCAGCAATTCAAGGTGACAGGGATCGGTATTTGAAAACTAATTGGGAATTTTGCCCCCTGTAATTGTTTATGAAGCAAGGGAATTATTAGCAAGCAAGACTGGAGAGAACTCTCCAAACGAAGCCGTTTGTTGCTAATATTTGATAGTGTTTGTTTTCCTGCCTTAGCCTCGATTTCTTCCCTGGAATGGGGCAGGGTTGAGGGCCGCAGGGAGTGTTTGCCTCCCCTGTGGTTTCACTGAAACAACCTCACCACTGCAATTCCTTTGATTCTACAAGGGATTAAGGAGCAGGGGTGCTGGGAAGGGCCCGGAACACAACACTGATGCCCATCTAAGTGTGGGGGAGAGGGGAGGGGACTGCCCAGGGAAGCTCCTTGTTGGTAAATTACGACCCTGGGAGAAGCACACCCTCTTCATGTCTCCCGTGGACAACACTCTGTGGACAAACTGAATCCCTTTTTACCTGTTTTATATTATAACATGGCTCTGGCCTTTTTCTGTTTCTATTTTGACAAGGATATTCAGGGACTTAGTTTTGGGCCATTTTGACACATTCATAGTCAAACCAGAACAGGGACGAGGCAACCTGGATCCAGGTTCCATTTAAATCTCATTGTCACACATTGCCCCTGAGATCCGCAGGGGTTCGGATCCTCGTGTAAAGCTCTGGTCTGGACAAAAATGTTAACGAGCATGAGATGAGCCGTTATGCATCTCTCATGAAGAAGGCAGTGGGGACATAACCTGACCTAGCCAATGGCTCCCAGCACTAGACATAGTACTGTCTTTGTGGGCTGTCTGGTAATAGTGCCTCAGTTAAAGCACCGGATTAAAATATTGACCTGAATCTCTGTGAGAATGCTGTGTGCTATAGTCTGTTGGGACTGATGGTGGGCTTGGGGGCTAGGCCAATGTCCCCATCCTGAGATGGCCCTGCTACCTTCCACCTGAGGAAGACGGGGACGTTCCCAGAAAATTCCTGGAGGGCAAGTCACAGTGCTTACATGAGGAAGACTACGAGCATCACTGGGTATCTGTGATGGCCCGCCTCCCTCCTCCTGCAGATTTCTGGAAAGAGAGACCAGTCATAATTCTGGGGAAAAGGGCAATATGGTGGAGAGAAAGCTAGATTTCTTTAAATGTCTTACTTTGCCAACTGGACTTCGTAATCATGTAAAGATTTTATATGATATATAAGACCAAATTAAAACATTTTAAAGCTTTAAAAAATTGAAATAAAAAACAAATAAACCTAACTTTGTTGACAGTGGTGGCCCAAGAGGAGTTATTCCAATAATGTGAAACTATAGTAATTTATCTAACTCCTGGGAGTGGGTATACCCCAGGACAAAACTCTAGAAATAAACTTCTCTTGCTGGTGGCATTGCTATACTGAGACCATTCTCTGCATATTCTGTGATAAGTTAAATGAGGCATTACGTTAGTATCACTGAAAAAGGATTTTGGGCAAAGTTGAAATGAGATGCCGATATAAGATCATTAAGGTTAAATAAAAAACTTAGAGGTTGATCAAACTGGAAGTATAATTGCCTGATGTATTTTATCTTTAGAGGGGGGAAAAAATCTCTTATCTGTTTCCTGAAGGGACCTAGAAATTGACCAATCCAGTTGCAACAAGAATCCCTGGCATCTAGCTAGTGACCTCTAAATAGCGTTTCTCAGGAAAGGAACCAGGAATCTTTAGAGCTATGGCTAATTCCAGGACTGGAGCAGCAGATGTAAAAGATGAACCTAGAACATTTTTTCATACCAGCATAGGAAGCTGCCAAAGACTATCAGGATTGTGCCAAAAAGGTGCAGGGACCAGTTTGAATAAAGCTCCCACGGGCCAAAGATAGGCTAATTCGAACATCAGTAAAATAGTGCAAGGTATGAAACTCATTCATATGGTTAAATCCATGTTTTTGATACAGGAAAAAATAGTCTGTGTGGTAATCTTTGGAGGACACAAGAAAATCAACCCATTACTTTGATAAGCACTAAATCTTTTTTTAAAAGAATGCTATCAGTTTGAAATATATACTGAAATATTTACAGATGAAATGATATGATGTCTAGAATTTTCCTCAGAATAACCTGGAGTGTGCATAACAGGTGGACTAGCTGAATCGAGACCGGCCACATCATGGTAACTGAAGCTTCGTGATGGGTGAATCGAATCCATTCAATTGTTCTCTGCACTTTAGTATATGTCAGAAACACTTCCAAATACAAAGTTTAAAAAGAGAAGATTAAAACTCAGAGAATATATGCGACACACATAACTGATAAGGGATAAGTATTCTGACAGTGTAAAGAACTGAGTCCATTGGAAAAGGTCAAAGCTTCAATAGGTATAAAATCATAAGGGGAACCTGAAATAGCCAAAAAAATATAAAAGCCTTTTATGATTAAGGGGAATATAAATGATACCATGTGAAATACCATGGTACCTACCAGATTGCCCAAAATGAAAAGTCAGACAAAAACAAGCATTGGCAAAGATGTGGAACAATGAACAAATCTCATGAACTGAGAGTTAAGTGGGAACACACGCCTTGCAGCACATCTAACATAGCAAACACGCGCATGATCTTCCACCCAGCAAGTACCAGTCACAAGTTTATACTCCAGAGAAGCCCCCACATGCTGGCACCAACCAGATGTTCAGAGGAGAATGGTTTGTAAGGGTGGGTGTGGGGAGGAAGAAAACTAGAAACGACTAAAAGAATCTTACAGAGAAAAATGGATAAATGTATTTTGGAATATTCATACAATGCAATATCTCACTAGAGTAAAATTAAACTACAGCTATTATGATGGCATGCATTGACATGAATGAAACTCAAGAACATACTACCAACTAATTCGAGTCCCAGGAGAAATCATACAAAAGATTTCATTTTTGTACATTTTTATATAACATTAAAATTCACCCCTTCAAGGTGAATCCAGATGTTTTTAGACTATTCAATGTCGTACGGCCATCATCACTACCTAATTTCAGAATATTTTATCACTCCATATCCAGTAGCAGTCACTCTTCTTTGGAAATTGTCTACACAAATCCTTTACCCCTTTTTTACTGGGTTGTCTTTTCATGGTTGAGTTGTAAGAGCTCTTTATATATTCTGGAGACCAGACTCATCAGATATATGATTTGCAATATTTTTTCCCATTCTATGGGTTATCATTTTAGTTTTTTTTTTTTCCCGTTGAAGCACAGGTGTTTGATTTTGATAAAGCCTAACTGATCCACTTTTTTCTTTGGTTGCTCGTGCTTTAAGATGCCATATTTGAGAAACTATTGCCTAAACCAAGGTCATGAAGATTTATATCTGTATTTTTTAAGGTTTTTTAAAAGTAGTTTTAGCTCTTACATTTAGATATTTGATTCATTTTTGAGTTAGTTTTTGTATATGGTATGAGGTAGAGGTCCAACTTTATTCTTTTGCTTACGGGCATTCAATTGTCCAGCATCGTTTGTTGAAGATGCTGTTCTTTCTTCTATTGAGATGTCTTGTCACCTTCGTCACAAATCAAGTGACCATAAGCGTAAGGGTTTATTCTGGGCTCTGAATTTAATTCCACTTATCCATACGCTATCCTTATGCCAATACCACACTGTAGCTTTGTAATAAGTTTTGAAACCAGGAAGTTTGAGTCCTCCAACTTTGTTTCTTTAAGATGGTTTGGCTATTTGGGGCCCCTGGACTTCTGCATGAATTTTTAGATCAGTTTGTTAATTTCTGCAACAAAAAGCCACCTGGGGTTCTGATAGGACTTGCACTGACTCTGTAGATCAATTTGGGAAGTATCACCATCTTAACAGTTTTAAGTGTTTCAATCCACGAACATGAAATACCTTCATTTATTTATATCTTCTTTCAATGTTTTATAATTTTCATTTTAAGTCCTATATTTCTTTCATTAAACTTATTCCTAAGTATGCTATTCTGTTTAATGTTATTGTAAATAAAATTGTTTTCTTAATTTTATTTTTGGTTTGTTCATTGCTAGTGAACAGAAATATAATTTTTGTATATTGACCTTGTATCCTTTATTACTTTGCTGAACTCATGCGTTTAAATAGGTTTCTTGGTGTGTGGATTTTCTATGTATGAGATCATGTCATTTACAAATATAAGTTTTACTTTTTCCTTTCCAATCTGGATACTTTTTATTTCATTTTCTTGCCTAATTTTCCTGGCTAAAACTTCTAGCGCGATGTTGAATAGAAGTGGCAAAGGTGGACATCTTGTCTGTTTTCTGATCTTAGGGTAAAGCCTCCAGTCTTTCACCATTAAGTAGGATGTGAGCTGTGGGTTCTTTGTAAATGCCCTTTATCAGGTTGAGGAAGTTCTCTTACATCCCTAGTTTGGTGTTTTTGTTATTTTAAAATTAAGGATTAGAGAATTTTGTCAAATGCC